AGTTAAAATAAAATTATTTTTAAAATCCGCACTATTTAATTTTGACCTTGCTCATATGCTAATCAAAATTTTCTTCAATGCAAATGTAGATAAAATGTCCTAGCCCAGTCTCACTAAGGCATGTATGGGTGCCTCAAAACAGCGTTTGCGGCCGCCAAATTCGACCTGAGAAAAGGCTTTTTGCGACTGTATAATCAACAGTGATTCATTGCTTAGTGTAGAAAAGTTTATTTCATGAACTCCATTTAAATTAGTATTTAATCAGAGATGGGATCATTTTCGCATCATTTGCTAGTTGAGTTACTGGTACGTTGCACTCCAATATAGTGGAAGTTTAGAACATCTTGTTTACTTGTTGTGCAATTTCGATGAGGGCATAGCAATTACTTTTATAAATCTGTTTAGAAATATAAAAGTTTCTAAGCATGGCTGTCATCTGAGTGATTGTCTGTTGTCCGCCAACAATTGCATTTTTGACTTCTTGAAAACTACCAGTTTGATTTCTTTGGTAGACTTCTATCAGTTTTGTTCATTTCGTGATGATATCATTAATTTTCTATTTTTAGCAAATATTTTTATCATTTTTGGTAAAAAATTATATTTTCAACTTCTTTTCAAACTACCATGATATTTGAGATGTATGTAATTGTTGTGAAAATTGTTTAATGAGGTGAGGTAGTGATGTTCTTAACACCCAGAATCAAACTACATGTTTTATGAATTAAGTGTTTTGTCTTATAGGTGTGCATAACTTGGCTACCATAATGTTTTTATAGGACAGCAAAGCTATTTCAACTGTCAGGTTACTTGTTGTATCTTGTTAAGGGTTCACTTTGAATTTATTGTTTAGCATGCTAAATCTAGTATGTAATATAAAGAAGGGCCTACTTTGCTGAGCACAGCTTTTCCTTTAACTGGTATGCTGTATTCCTCTAGACAAAAAAAACACATTAAGGATGCTGTATAGGTTTTTGGTATTGATTTTCTAAACGGGTGTTTCCATATAAAATATTTACTGAACCATACAAAGCTATATATTGATGGAAAGCTTATTTCACACTGAATGTGAAATCGACAAGATAGTGTGTGTATGGACGTGTAAAGTCACGTGATCTCTGTGTAAACACGGAAGCCATTTTCGGTAAAAAAATAATTGAACCAATGAATGAACGAATTTAGTGGAACATTGGCAACAAAACAGTTTTTCAGACGACGCTCACCACCATTCTGCG